GCGTGATCACTGAAGCAGCTCCAGTTAGCAAGCGCTTTCGGAGTGAGAGTGAATTCCTCATTGATTGGTCTGACTCATGACTCCCAACAAATCAGGTGAGCGGTGGGCGGAGACTGCTTTAGGCCACAGAGTGGTGAGTTCTGACAGGCTGCATCAGATGGCGCGTTTCAAAATTAAAGTTATTTTATCGGCGAATCGGTTTTGAAAATGACCATACCGATAATCATAAAAATGCTTAATATCGGCGCCGATAATCGGTCGACCCCTACTTTGTAGTTTGAGTATCAAAGATATTAGCACCTTTTACTCTTTACTTGACTACATTTTTGAATAATTAGATGTACTCTTTACTCAAGTCAAGTCACCTTTATATAGCACTTTATACAATACGTCTCCAGTTACTGACGTAACCTCGGTTCCCTGAGAAGGGAAGGAGATGTTGCGTACAGCTTAAGCTGATCGCATTGGGAAACACCTTTCTCCTCAAATACTGAAGCCTTATTCGCTTAACACCATTGCATTGCAATGGCCAATGGCGCTCGAGTGTGCGAAAAGAGTGGTGGGAAAGCACCCTATATAAGGGACGCCGAGTGGCATTTCATCAGAATCTTTCGACTGATTAAGAGAGCTTATGACAGACCTAAGTGCATGTAACAGCATGAACGCAACGTCTCGTTCCCTTCTCAGGGAACCGAGGTTACGTCAGTAACCGGATACGTTCCCTTTCGAGAGGGTCTCTCGACATTGCGTACAGTGTAAGCTGATCGCATTGGGGAACGTGTACCTTCACGCCGTGTTACTGCGAAGGGCACTCAGCATAAGCGGAGACGTCAAATAAACACAGCGACACTCAACAGTAATTGCAATGTATGGTACAGCCACTTTACACAAGTACACATAAGCAGCACATTCTAGATAACAGCTTCTAACCGGAGCTAGACATGCAGTTGTGGAGCTAACCGGAATTAGATGGCAAATTATGACAAATTATGGCCTGGGGAACTGTGTGTAAGTTGGCTAGGCAGCAGCAGCGCCGGTACCGCCTACTACAGGGCATACAGCCGTCATCCAAATACTCTTGTAAAAAAAGACAAATTTACTAAAAACAGGCAGTTAACAGGGTCTTGGCCCTTCGAAGTGCAACAATCTTCGAAGGCTCCCCACCTATGACCATAGAGACGTCTAGTAAACAGAAAGCTCACCTCTGAATGTCTTTTGCCCTTCCAGTGACAGCGAGTTTAACGTCAGCAAACTCTGCCGAGTAGCCAGACACGCAGATTCCATATAGGCTGGATGCCAGACTGAGTCGCTCGCTTGAGAGGGGATCTCTCCTCAAGGAAATTTGTCATTCAGGTCCCGAGAACCAGGGCTGCATGTGCCCTCTGCCTCGACGTATGTCCGCCCAGCGATTGAGATGGCCGGGGAGACAGACAGCTCAACAGACAGGAGGTGCTAGTCTGCCCACGTCTTCAGGTTCGTCATGAGCATGAGAGTAGGGCGAGAACGGGAACCGCCTTGGCGACTATGAACGCCACGGCTGCCGTATTGTCCATGCGAACGAGAACATGCTTGTGATGGACTTAAGTGTAGAAACACTTAAGAACTTACGAGACAGGTGAACTGCTCCGATCACCAGGCAGATCCAGGCAGGTCATCAGGTACTATTTCTCTGTGTCTGTCCAGGCACAAGAATGCCGGGCAACCATTGTACAAGGCTGCTGTTGTTGTAAAAGGCTGTGCACCTCCTTAGGGCCAGCACTTCTAGGCATTTGTGAGTCACCAAGATGCGCGTTGAGCTCGAGTGTGGGGCCCGTGCAGGAACGCACGCTTTCAATCATAGTTGAAGAGGTCACATATGAAGCAGTCCCAGCCTGCCAAATAATGATACAGTGCAAACAGTCTGAGGGAGTGTTCTGAAAACACTGGGGCGTTTTGAAGCCTGCACGGAAGTGAGCATTACACTGTTGAGACAGGGCAATCTGTGTCATTTATATGGAACTCGTTGTCTCTTTAAGGCAAGGGAATATTTTATTTATTTATTGTTAACAGACCTAGTGGAAACCCGCAGCTCTGAGGGGGAGGGTGGGCCTGCTGAAGTGCTGTATGTGCGTGGACACACCGGCAAAGATAAAAAGTGGTGAAACGCAGCACTTTAAAAGCTATCAGAAAACAGCTGCCATAACAAATATCATGGCTATTGCAACAACAAGCGGCGGACCCGGCACTTGGTGTACACTATCCGATGGCACCTCATAACACTGCAGCCAGTTAGTAGAACAGGGCAAGCGCAGTAAGAACGCATTGTTTAGGGGCTAGCAGCCACTGAAACTCAAATAGAAAACTCCGGCTAATTCTGTGCTTAAGATAGAAGCGGTGACTCAGCGCTCATTACTATCAGAAGCTAGCCATGCTAGACAACATAACAACTGCATCGACAAGCGACAAATCCGGGGCTATTTAAACAGTACATCGGGATAATTGTAACACAGCCAACAGTAGCGATAGCCCATATTTAAGGAGGGAAAACTCAGTTTCAAGCATAATGACTATAACCCACAGGATAATAGCAGCAAGACAAATCATACAGGGGCACTACCGCTGTAATCACTGCAAAAATTTGTACATAGAAGAGACCGACGCGCACTATGGAAACAATCAGGCTGCCGCAATATAGAGTGTGTGAGCGGCGGCCTCCCAGCCATCCCACCGGCACAGTGCACAAGCAGTGACATGAATCATAAAACGTAGCAGCGACTTAACTCAAGAAGCAGTAAACTGGCCTACCTTGAGAAAGCAGACTTGAACCGAAAGGACCCGGGAAGCCATTGTTTAAGAACGTGGCAATTTTATTCTGCGAATAGATATCCCTTTAGACCAAGATGAGGCATGGCTCTCGTATAGTCGGCTTGCACACCAGTAGTTTGTTTTCCGATTTTTTCATTTTTTTTTTCAAACGCGGAAAGCGCGCACAGGGCAGGTAGGGCTCTCCCCCGCCATGCACTCGCTCGGAGTAAAAGCCGAAAGACATATCACCTGGGCTCTGAACACCTTGAGAGCACCTTGGATATGTAGCCCTTTCTCGGTTTAAGCACAACTTACAGTCATTAGGTCTGAAAACTATACATGACTCGCTGACAGAGAGAGCTTGCATATCATCCACTAGCTTAACAGAAGCAAGCATAAGCAATAGCGCTGTCTTAAGGGAGAGCACTTTTTTTTTGAGAGATAAAAAAAATTATTCTGATAGCCAACAGAGTAGTATCTCCTGTATTCTGTCTTCCCGTTTGTCGCACTGCACAGTGGAACAACCAGCACAAAGACAACCAGTGATAGTGCCCGCAATAGGAAGTGAAAACGAGAGAAGAGTAAAATAGCGGGTAGACTTTATTGTCAATCCGACTATACCGCTCTGCGGCACGTTTAACACCGGGAACGGATGGCATTTCGGCCACGAGTTCTTTCGCAGCTGGCTCAGGCTCTATGCAAGAGTCTGAAGCTGGGCTAGATTTACATGCAGTCACACAGAGCTATGCTAGCTGTAACGCCAGTCCATATAGCGGTCAGTATAAGCAACATTACACATCTGTATGAAGAGAGTGGCACAGCTGGCTCTCACCACAGAAAGGCAACGCATGGTGGCAGCGCCAGCATATAGCGGTCAGTTTTTGGAAGACAGCGGCACAGCCGGTGTTTATCATAGAAGGGTAATGCACTGCTGCACCACCAGCATATATAGCAGTCAATGACCTACATAGTGGCCAGTGTAAGCAACAACAGCAATCTGTATGAAAAACTGCGGCACAGCCGGTGCTAGTCATAGTCATAGAAGTCATAGAAGGTTAATGCGCTGCGGCACTGCCGGTTCCGCCAAATATAACCGTAGCAACACTACCTGCATGGCAGCAGCAGAGCCGGTGCTTATCAAAGAAGGGCACCGCACGATGGAAGCGTCAGCATATATAGCGGTCAGTGAAGCGACACTATACATCTGCAATGCATGAAAGACAGCGGCTCAGCCAGTGCTTATCATAAAAAGCAACGCACGGCTTCAGCGCCATGTATATAGCTAAAGTGTAGTTTCATACTAGTGTAAGCAACACTAGTATGAACAAGTACACTAGTATGAAAGACAGCGGCACAGCCGGTGAAAATCATATAAAAGCAACGCACGGCGGCAGCGCCAGCATATATAGTGGCCAGTGCAAGCCACACTGCATACCTGTATGAAAGACAGCGGCACAGCCGGTGAATATCATAAAAGGCAACGCACAGCGGCAGCGCCGGCTAGTATATAGCTGTTACTGTAAGCAACACTGCTATCTGTATGACAGACAGCAGCACAGCCAGTGCTTATCAAGGGCGCCAGTGTTGTATAAATAGCTGTCAGTGTAAACAGCACTTAAACAGGTACGAAAGACAACGCACTGCAGGTGCGTATCATAGAAGGCAACGAGCAGTGGCAGTGTAGAGTGTAAACGGCAATACATGTCCTGATGAATACAGCAGCACAGCACCGGTGCATATCATAGGAAGCCAGTGAGAGCACCAGAATTTACAGCAGTTAGTATAGGCAAGCACTACACTCCGCTACTGAAAACAACCACTTAGCTGGTCTTTATACGGTGATACGTCATAACCTTGTGAAGGCTGAAACTGCCTGCCCGGATGCTTTGGACAGCTCGCTGCTGGGTCGGGAAAGCTGTTTATATGATTAAGTAAGCGATTGGAGCAATCTGCGATCTAGCAGGCAAAATACCGCGCTGAAGCGGGGCACTGATGTTATGTGAGCGGCTGGGATATGTTGTGCTTTGCACAATCCAGAACGCCGCTGAGGCGGGGTGCTGTTTGTATCGTAAGCACGTTCAGAGCATAGGGGGTCAGCGGGACCTGTGTCAGCATATGAGCCCTTTGCTGCAAACCTCACGTTCAGCTTATAGCTCCACTACCATGAGGGGAGCGTGAGAGCCAAGTTTGTTTCTTTATTTAGGTAAGTGACGCTTATGACGAGCGCTATCCGAGGGCGGGAAGTCCTCACACTCATGGATGGATCGGCAGGGCGGAAAGCATATGGGCTCTGAGCCAGCGTGAACTCGCCACTTAATACTTCGTACTCCAAATAGGTGTGATTTCGGTGCTTCTTCCTGCTTGAAGAGAGCGGTTGAGGGGGCGGCTGCGCGAAGGCTAACCGATCCCGGAGAATTCTGACGCTCACTTTTTTAGCATCACAATGCGGGCAGTTAGGGCCCTCAGTGGCAGCTTCTGCGTGGGCGCGGCCAGGCAGAAGACACAAAGTTTGAGTCCGTCGGAGATCCCGATGGGTCCCACGCAGATCGGGTAAACATAAATGATATCTTCAATCCATACTCCACCGGAACGCTTAAGGGATTAGCAAAGCAAATTCCACAATCCTCTTTGGCGATGAATCAACGGCGAAGACATAAGCATTATGATGAAGGAGAAAGATTCTGATGAAATGCCACTCGGCGCCGCTTATATAGGGCGCTTTCCCGCCACCCTTTTTGTGCGCTCGAGCGCCATTGGCCATTGCGATGCAATGGCGTTAAACGAATAAGGCTTCAGTATTTGAGGAGAAAGGTGTTTCCCCAATGCGATCAGCTTACGCTGTATGCAACGTCGAGAGACCCTCTCGAAAGGGAACTGGTTGTGTCAAAGCAGCTATACAGTGTCAAACAGGAAATAGTTTGTCAATAATACAAGAGGACAATAACAAATGGTAAATTTTTCAGTTAAAATCAGTTAATTTTTGATTCAGTGATGTCATCATCCAGTTCAGCTCTCTTCCAATAGTGTCTGTGCAATCAAGCCGACAATATTGCCAGAAATTAAGCATCCGCAACTAAGCAAGTCAAAGGCAACAGTGGCAAGGAACCAAAACTCCATCTGTGACAGAAATGGAGAAAAAACCTTGGGAGAAACCAGGCTCAGTCAGGGGGCCAGTTCTCCTCTTGCCAGAGCAGCATGGCATGATTTAATTCCAGGCTCCAACACAGGTCAGATTGGGCAGAGGACTTGTCTGGTTCCCATGGTCTTGTCCTAATGACCGTCTAGTTAACAAGGTCTTCGCAGGGGATCTGTCTCTGGGCCCCATCTAGTTGACATGCTCTCCGCTGACATTCAGGGCTGTAGATGTCGTCTCTAGGTGCTGATCCATCATATGGTCTAAATATGGACTTAATCTGGGTGGCTACGGTGACCTCGGAATAAGAATGAAACAGACTAATATTGGCATAGATGCCATTCTTCTTACAATGTATCGAGTACATCGGGTGTTATGGGAAGTGTTCACTGTTCCGGTTGATCTAATTAATGCAGCCTAACAATCCTTTAACGGATTTGAATTATAGAAATGTGATAGTGTGTTGTGTGTAGGGCTGCACGATAAATATTGCACGATATTTAATGTGCATCTCGTCAGTAAAGCCGGTTCTGTAATCAGCGGTAAATCTCTACACGTGCGTGCTTTCACGTGGAGCAGCATTAACTACACAGAGCCATTGTTCACTGACAAGCTGCGCAAAATATGATCGTGGTTTTGCGCATTACATAATCTGAAAATATTTGTTTTCCATTTGAATTGGTTCATTTAAAAGTAGACAATTTGCTTTCTATAGATATATATTTTCATGTCTGTGAGGCAAACACGGCGTTGCAGTGGAATTTTTTTTTTCATTTTAATTTTTTTTGACCCGATCAAGTTCACAGAGACCTATACGGCAGAAAGCGTAGGGTTTGCGTTCATTATTTTACAAAAGCACAACGTTTTGTTGTTATTGTGAGTGCACACAAATAAAAGTAGACCTTTTTCAGATTCAAAAGATGTATTACTCTGTATGAGCAAAAATGACAGTGTATTTTAAGTTAAATGCAAATGATCGCAAGGGGGGCCTCCACATTAACTGTCATGTAGTGAGCTGTATCGCGATTTATGTTTTTCCATCCCCAAAATATAAGACGTCTTAAAATGATCATTAAGACGTTTGTTTACCATTTAATGTATTGAAGCAACCCTCTATGCAAATATAATCGCCATTGGCTAGTAAATTTTTTTGTTTACACGCCAGACTGATATACTATTTCACACACACACACACACACATATATGTATGTGTGTGTGTGTGTGTGTGTGTGTGTAAAATGGCACAGCTTCTTAAATATCTGATTGTACCCTCTTAACATCAGTCAATGAAGCATTATATTATGATATTATGATAATTAAGCACTATTTAATGATAGAACAGAACTAAAACTTGGTAACCATGTATGTATGCATATTTGTCTTTAGGTACTTAGGACTAGTGGTGGTGTTTAAGATATTGTTGGTCATAGATAATAGTAATTATTATTAAAAGATAATACTACTACTAATACTACTACTACTAACTGCTGGGTTCATGAATATATTAATCACGTTGTGTGCGTTCACTCGACCTGATTTGCTGAAATCAAAACAGGGACGGTAATAGGCGAGCGCCAGCCAATGAGATTGCTGTTTGCGCATTAGTCCTGCCTACTACCGGAGAAACCGGCATATCTCCTGCTTGTTCTTAAAAGCTGAATAATTCTAAATGAACTCCGTTATTTTTTTTTACAGGAAAATATAACAAAGAATAACGTTTACATGTAGCGCCTTGATTCAGCGTGATATGTAAGACTCTCACTCTCTCTCTTTGCATGTGTGAGAAACAACGCTATCAGCAAAGCGACTGTGAGTTGTGCGCCTTCACACTAGAGTTTACGGTGTGTCAAATACAGGTATGCTGCGCATCCATTGAGCTGAATTGAAATAGTACAGATCGCTTGACAGAGAGCGAAACTCTCAAATGTTCAGCGAATGAAAATATATCTAAGCTAAACATATAATTAGCCTCTAACACACAAACTGGCAAGTAATATCTAAGAATGTATTAGCCATTGGCTAACGAAGTTGCCCAGAGATTTGAACTGATTTATTGGCAATGTAGAGTGTTAAACACACACAGTTTCACCCAATCTCATGTTAATCTTGAGTACCTATAGAGTAGTACTGCATCCTTCATATCTCCAAAAAGTCTTTAGTTTTATCCTATTTATAAAAGAAATATACAGCTTTACGATTCTCTCCAGAAAAAGCCGAGCTCCTGGAGGCGCCGTGGGCAGAGCTAAAGAGTGACGAGCACTTGAGCGCCGAATGCCAACAAAACAGACATTTGATGCCGTTTCATTTACCGTCTGCAGTTCCAGATCATGACTGGGATCTTTTATAGCTGGGATGCTCCATCTTTCAGTATCAAACGATGTGCAAATACAGCGTCGAACTGGGCCTTGTTTATAAAACGTTCGTCAACAAACACACTTGTGAAACTCCGTTGCTGCCCCGGAAAAAAATACTGTATCCACTGTTTACATAACGCTGGGTTCTTTAGGAAGCTGAACAACGTTATCTTTCCCTTACAACCAAAAACACACTTCTTT